CTTTATTATTTGTTCTCTGGATCCCTCCACAACAATGTAGATTTCTTAAGGCAAGGACCTTTTTTACTTTCTTGAGTTTATAAAATTTTTAACTTTTGCCAGGAGTGGTGGTACACACCTTTAACCCCAGCATTCAGGAGGCAGAGCCAGGTGGGTCTCTGTGGGTTTAAGGCCAGCCTGATCTACAGAGTGAGTTCCAGGACAGTTAGAGCTAGATAGAGACCCTGTCTCAAAAAAATAATACTAAATTTTTAATCATTATTATTTTATTTTTGGTATGTGTGTGTGATGTGGTTTACATGAGTGTGTGGGTATGCTTGTGGAGACCTTATTGCCTTGAGACTGTCTCTCACTGAACCAAAAAAGTTGGATGGTCTGGCTAGGCTGGCTGGCCAGAAAGCTCTTGGAATCTATTTGTCTCTGCTGGGATTATGGGCACATATAGGCATACCCAGCCTTTTATGTGTGTACCGGGGATTTGAACTCGCTCGTCATGATTGTAAAGCAAGAGCTTTTACTCACTGAGCCATTTCCTGAGCCTCAGCAGCATCTGAGTCATTTTGTTGAGAGGCTGTGTCACTGTGGAGTCTGACTTGCTCTGTAGACTAGGCTGACCTTGAATTTAAAATCCCCTTGCCCACGCCCTCTCAGTACTAGACTTACACACAATTTCGTTTTCCCTTTTTGTTTTGTTGAGTTAGAGTCTCACTTTGTTGCCTAAGCTAGTGAAGACTGATTCTGTGAACTCAGGGACTCATGCCCCAACTTTTCTCATGCTGGAATTTATAAGCATGAGTCACCATACCTAGCTGTTAAAATCTTTCCAAGCCAGGCACTGGGGATGCACGCCTTTAATCCCAGCACTCCAGAGGCAGAGGCAGGCAGATCTCTGTGAGTTTGAAGCCAGCTTGGTCTACAAAACAAGTTCCAGGACAGTCAAGACTACACAGAGAGACCCCGTCTCGAAAAACAATTATTTTTCTAATAAAGTAAGTGCATAATGACTGGATGAATATTAAACTCAATATGCCTCTGAAGGGTGTGATAAGACAAATTTTTAAATGTTTATGTATGTGCACACGTTTGTGTGTGTGAGTGCAGGCATGTGTGTACCACAGCGTTCCTGCCGAGGTCGTAGGACACTTTAAAGCATCAGCTCTCACCCTCCACATCGTTTGAGACAAGTTTTCTCATTGATAACTCTTGTGTATGCTGGGTTATCTGAGCTTCTGCAGGAATTCTCCTGTCTCTGTCCTAGGAAGAACAGAACACTTGGATTCCAGATACGTGCTACATGTCCAGCTTCTACGTACTTCTATGACTCAGTTCCTCACGCTTCCAGGGCAGTCGCTTTACCCACTCAGCTACATTCTCAGTCTTTCTTTCCTCCTTGCTTTCTGTTTGTGATTTATCTAATTTTTTTTTTTTCAGAGAAACAAAGTTCCTATTACAGAGCATTCCTTATATGCCAAGTACATGAGAAATGGTAAAATATGTGAAATTCCTGGAACCTAAACCCCATGTGTGGGCATCCCATCTCACCCAAATGAAGACCAAGAAAAATTGGGAAATTTTTCTCTACACATTGTCAGAAAAGGCTCAGGCCTTGTCTGACACCATTATAAATGTTTCTCCCAGTGAACCCCTAAATATTATTTATCCTCAAATACCATACTGAAACCCATGAAATAGGGAAGGCCAAGATGTTTCCCTAAATCTGTAATTGGCTTGTGTGTCTGAACTCTGCTTTATCCAAGATTCATAATACACCAATCTAGATAGCCCATATTTAATGAGACTGAGAAAATGGCATGGTCATGACTGGGCTTCCCTG